AGCACTCCCAAACTCATTTCATGAGGCCAGTATTACCCCGATATGAAACCCCTACAGAAACCATAAAAAGAGAACCCTTCATGCCAATATCCCTGGCAAAAAGAGAGGTAAGACTCCTCAACAAAAGGCCAGCAAGTTGAATTTAGCAAAAATACTATACATGACAATCGGGTGGGATTCATTTCTGGGATGCAAACATGGTTTAATGTGTGATAACCAATCAATGCAATATACCACATTAACAAAACGGAGGGTAAAAATCATAACCATCTAACTAGATGCAGAGACGTCTTTGGTAACATTCAACATGTTTGTGTAAAAGCTCTCAGCAATCTAGGACTGGAGGGAAATTACCTCAGCACAAAAACATCCATCTGTGCAACCCCTCAGCCAGCATTCTACTCAGTGGTCACAAACAGAAAGCTTTCCGTGAAGATTGGAAATGAGGCAAACGTCCAGCCTCTCTGTGTCTAAGAAACACAGTCAGGTCAGCCTGCTTTACACAGCAAGACCCTGTCTCAAAAAAGAAAAAAAAAAATCCGAAAAGATGCAGGATACAGAATTAACGTGAAAATCAGTTGTTTGTTTGTATGCACTGGATAATGACCTATCCAAAAAGGAATTTAGGAGAATAATCCCACCTGTGTTTCTATCAAAAAGAATCAAAATGCATAGGAATAAATTTTACTAAGGAAGTGAAACATTTTCTACTGAAAACAATAAAACATTGGGGAAAGAAACTGAAAAGAGATGAATTTAAATGGAAAGACATTGAGTGCTCATGGGCTGGAAGACAAATGTTTGTCCTACCCAAAGCTATCTGTAGATTCAGTAAAACTCCTATCCAACTCATACGGATATTTTTCACAGAAATAGAAAAAAATTCAAAAATTCACATGGAAGCACAAAAGACCTCAAATAGCCAAAACAATCTAGAAAAAGAACAAGACTAGAAGCTTCACACTTCTGGATTTCAAAATATATTTCAAAGCTACAGTAATCAAAACAGTATGGTAGAGTATGGCGTCGAGACAGATAAACAAATCAGTGAAACAGATACAGTGCCCAGAACTGAAGCCAGGCAGATGCATGTGGTCAGCTGGCCCCTGGTGAGGGTGCGGAGAGAAAGCACACGGGAAGAAGGGTGTCTGCAACAAGTGGTGTTCGAATGTTCACGTGCAGAAGAATGACCAAGAACCTTTATCTCGCGCTGTGTGAATACCAACGCACACTGGAGCCCAGATTTCAATGTGAAGACGTAAAACTGTGACCCGCCTGGAAGGAAACTAAGAAGATAGCTTCATGATGTTCGCCTTGTTCTTGATTTCATGGTAGCACTACAGGTGTAGACAAGAGAAGCAGAAACAGGCAAGGAAGGAGACATCAAACCACACAGCTTCTGCACAGCGCAGCAATGGTCAGTGGGGTGGAAAGACGGCTGTGGGGCGGGAGAAAATACTTACAACTCACACCCAGCAAAGATCCACAGCTAATGTAGATGAGGGACTCTTACAGTGCAATACCAGAACACGAATCATCGTCTTTCGACATGGACGAACCAGGTGTGATGCTGCACACCAGTCCTGCAGTCCCAGCACTCAGGAAGCTGAGGCAGGATGATCACCATGAGTTCGAGGGCAGCCTGGACTATATAGTGAGTTAAAGTCCAGCCTGAACTGCACAGTGAGACCTTGTCTAAAA